GCCCCATCTGTGTGGGTTTGTGACCTTGGTTTTTAGAACTGCAGAACAGATTTAAACTGAATTTAGCTCAGTGTAACTGGTTTTTTTTTTCTTTTTTCCTCGCCCTGCCATCCTCTCTGGTAACGCTTAAAGTGTCTTTAATTTTTAGGACTGAAAATTGACTTCCAAAGGCAAGTGGAGACAATTTCAGTAGAGCACAAAGGAACTCAGSATGCTTTTGGCCAGTTCTGCTCTGTTGAGTTTGTTTCCATAGCTGTGTTTGTCAAGATCATGTGGCACTGCAGCCTTTTGTTGTCTTCTCAGCATAGGAAGAAGACACTTGTATAGATACAGTAATACGACCACAAGTCATTGAAATTTGCATACTGAAGATATTTTTGTTAACCTAAGCCTTGTGGGGATTTTTGTGAGATCTGCCCAAAGAAAGTCTGTGATAGGAATGCTAGTGTGTGAGTACACAGGTCAAGCTTTGAACATAGACAGACATAGTGGAAATCTCCTCAAGAGTCAAACAGGGTATCTTTTTCCTCCAACTGATCTCGGAACTGTGATGCTACAGATTTCTGGGTTAATTCTTTCATATTGTGTTCCCACCCCTGACTTGTATTAAGAGGTGGATAGACAGAGTAAGTTGCTAAATATTTTCCTTCTAGGTCAGCCAACTTTAAGAACTTTACCTTCATCCAGCTGAATGAAGACTTTTCTAGGGGCAAAGGATTAGATGTTGGTGCTCGATTTTGGAAAGGAAACAATGTTGTTCTCTTTTTTTGCGATGTGGACATATACTTCACAGCTGAATTCTTGAACTCCTGTAGATTGAACACACAGCCAGGTACTGCTTCTCATGAAGTATATTAGGTTCTACCTATTGTGTAAAATATAGGTTCTACCTATTATGTAAAATCCCTCACCAGTGTATTCCTGCCTTTGAATTGGTAATGAAGCTACTGTAAGGCAAATGTAAATCAGTTGTAACAGGTTCCTACTCCCACTGTGATTGAATCTCTTGCTTTCAGCACCTGTGCTTTCTGGAACAAGATCTTTTTATTAATTATATCCTCACATTCAAATTCTCATAGAAAGAACATAGGCTCAGTGCAAAATTTGTRTGACTTTGTCTGGATTTGGTCTGGCCTGGACTGCATCTTGTAAGAGATAWGTGTATTTCATACAGCATTTTAAAAGAAGTAACCCACTGTCATTTCTAGGGAAGAAGGTATTTTATCCTGTTCTCTTCAGTCAGTATAACCCCAGTATAATTTATGGTCACCATGATTCCATCCCATCTTTAGAACAGCAGCTGGTAAGTACATGCTTCTCTGAATGCCTGCTTTTATTTGAAGAAAGCATTTTTAAAAAGTGCATGTGCTCTTGGRTAGCATTTCCTTATTCCTTGTGCACAGTGACCACCACACAGACAAAATTAACTACAACACTCACCTTACTGTGAGTTGTGMAGGTATGTTTCACTGGGAAGTATTTTGGTATGGGCAAGTACATTGTTAGGATTATGAAAATATTTATAGCTAATATTTGAATCATAAAATGTGATTCTTATGTCAGAAAAGCTRCTTGATTTTAAGAAGTACAGTGAGTCACATTTTTATGTATATTTTTATATTTTTAGCCCACATTAGTTGCCAGGCATAAGGTCAGATCTATGCCAATAAAACAAGACAGTGTTAGTTCTCTGTCCTGGAATTAAGTCAGCTGAGGAGAAAAGAAAAAAAAAAAAAGGAAGCCTTCAGAAATCTTTGATAGAATTTGATTTGTGCAGCAGCCACTTGCACTAATGGGAAATAATAATGCTAATGCACGTGGGTAGCTTGCTGTAAGGGCATCGTGATGGAGACTTCTTGTTACAGTGCAGACCTGACAGATATAATCTTGTTTCCTTTTAATTGGCTTCTACAGTGACTTGTCTTTTCCAAGAAAAGGAGAAATGAGAAATGAAATCTAYAGCAATGTGAGCAGTAAAATAAAAAAATAATAACAGTTGAGGTGACAAAAGCKATGAACAAAAAGGGAGGCATGAACAAGGAGTCAGGAGAGACAAGTTTGGGAGAGCATTTCTTCATAAAGGAAACACTGGGATTTGTAAATCCAGAAATGGAAATTCTCTCTCCTTATCTGTAATTCTGTCACAAGGGAAGTCAAGATTTTCCAAAGCAGATGCAAAGGGGTAGGTTTCTAACCAGACATTGAAGAGTGTGAAGTACTGCTGACTTGTCAGAGGATTTAAAAACCTGTCTCAGTCCCTTGAAGCTCTTAGATGTCTGRCCAGATTCCGTTTAGGTCATGCATGAATTATGATCTTAGAGATTTGTACTTAGATATCTGCTTTTCAAAATTATAGCCATGCTTTCTTAGTGCTCTGATTTTCTACCTGTAATACATAATGTTTTCATTGTCCACCTCAGTAAGGTAGACCATTTGTTTTGACAAAAGCTTTTATGGGACATATAGCTAACACCTAACATTTCTGGACTTCAATTTTAGCTGGATATAGCAGTTCTGTAATAGAAAATTATTCTTGTTACTCAGAATTAATGTAATCAAAAAGCTGTCAGTTATGTGATTGGATTAGAACCACTGTTTTCTTTCAGAGCTCTTGTGTCACCATCTGCTCTGACAGCAGTCTGGCTTCCCTGGTTTACCAGTATGTTTGTTACATTGGGTTTGAATCCCACAGAAACGAACAATTTTGGAGGATGCTTTGCCTGCAAAGAAGTAAACTCCAGAGATGTGAAATTTTTCTACTTGGTCTACAAAAGCAGGAATGGAGCAAAACCTGATTGCTCTGGATCAGGGGGGTTATCCATGATAGTTAATAACACAGCTRTTTTGAGGGAGGCAGATACATGCAGTGAGTATCTACAAAAATGGGTTCAGGACCCACTGTGGACTAATGTGGGGAAGAATAAAGGGCAGTTTCTCCTATTTCTGACCACATTCAGATCAGAATGCTCTCGCTGAAAGCATTTCTGCTTCCATGAAAATATTCCTTTTCCTCCATACAGATCATTAAAAAAGAAACTGGATTTTGGAGAGACTTTGGTTTTGGGATGACTTGCCAGTACAGATCTGATTTTCTCAACATAGGTAAGAAAAATACACTCCAATACACCTGCCATTTTACTAAAACAGAAAATGATGACCGCCTCCCTTTCCTTGGCCATTGCATCTATGTCACTAATTTGCAGCAGTGCTGTGGTTAGATGTTTAGGCAATTCCTAGGTGCCATAAAGCTTACCAGAATCTAAGCACTGCTTACAACTAGAGTTAGAAATAAAGAATTTTTGTCTGATAGTGAAAGATTTGAAGATAGGCCCTTTGATGTTCACAGAAAGTGTGTCTGTTTTAAAGGGCTAACTGGAGCCAGAAACAATTGCAGTGCAATTAATAGCATCATCATAATAGTTTGCTAAAACATATTTCTAGTTTTAATTTGAATTTTGTTTGTGTCAGGTGGCTTTGACCTGGACATTAAAGGCTGGGGCGGTGAAGATGTACATCTGTACCGCAAGTACCTTCACAGCAACCTCATGGTGATCCGAACACCTGTCAGGGGTCTCTTCCATCTGTGGCATGAAAAGCAGTGCCTGGACGAGCTGACCCCAGAGCAGTAYAAAATGTGCATGCAGTCCAAGGCCATGAATGAGGCTTCTCATGGCCAGCTTGGGATGCTTGTTTTCAAGCAAGAGATTGAAACACACCTGCATAGACAGAAATTGAGCAGTAAGAAGACATGAATCAAGAGAGGTAAAAAACCTCTGAATTGGACTGTAAGGTGTTTTGGAAAAGAATTTCTAACCAGAAAAGTTGGAATGAGACTGAAAGAGGATGGAGATTCCAGCAGGATGGCAGCAAAAGAAGAAGAGGGAAAGCATTTGTCCTCCCTGCTTTTGTTTTTATTCTAATGGGGCTTTTAAATACTCCATTATCCTGACTGTTCAGCACTTGCTTCTGGGGAAGACTTTAACACTTGATGAGATTCAAGGGCATGTCACAGAGACAATGAACATTATGTGGTATTACGTGGCCAGTGTGGTATTCACACTAACAAACGGATGTGCTTTTCCTTTGAAATATTTGTAAGATGTGTACAGTTATTTAAAGGATTACCTTTTTGGGGGTCAATAAGTAGAAGTTATTTTCTACATCTAACCTGACGTATCTGAAAAGGGCTTCTTTTGAATAAGTGCAGAGACTCCTGCTCTGAAAAGGACATCTGATTGTTAGCAATGGTAAAGCAGGAATGACCAAAAATCCTTTTCCCTCAAGGGGCTGGAATGAGGGGACAACAACTGTACACTAACAGGGCATTCCCAGTTCATCCGGAGAAAGAGGTATCTCAGAAACTGCTTTCTACAATTCAGAAAAAGAAAACCTTACTGGTCAAGTGTGATGGTTCAAAARCACTTGAGGGTACTGTTTGTTATCCTCTGTGGACAGTGAAGCAAAAGCAATGAGCCACGTCTGTACCACATGAATCAGATGGTGTGTTTCTACTTTAGAATGCTCTATATGTCTCAAGATTGGTTTTTTAATGAAGTTCATTTGGTTGGGAATTATTTTGCTATACTTTAGGTTTTCTACTTCTAGCCTTACTTGGAAACAGTACAGCCTTTCTATGGTTGGAAAATGCTCTACAGATCTGTGTTCCTGTGGATGGGAACTGGATTCAGATAAAGTGATTTTTCTACACAAYTTGGGTACTGGAAGGTGGAAGTTTCATCATGCTGAAGGAAAGGAAATACATACCAACTCGCAGTACTGATTTAGCAGGAGGCTTTAAACTCTGAATGCCAGATGCCAAAAGTGATGAACCTTTTTTTACTTTATACCAAAGTGTTCCTTCTAAACCAAATACAGAGTCTTGCCCAGGGTATAGAAAGCTTTTTGTAATTAACAAAATAAATTTTTGTGATGGATTACTGGACCCTGTAAATTCTCTTATGAAAATTATAGGTTTAATCCTAAAAATTAGTCCTTAATAGGTTTGGGKTTTTTTTGCAATTGCGTAAAACTGTTGAAAGTCTGAGTTACTGCTCTTATAAGGCATTTTCTTTTAATGCTCACAACCATTGATCATTTTAATATATACCAACCAACAAAAACTGCATGGGCTCAGAAATCCCATTTGCTTACCTAAATGCTGTACCTCTGAACAGTATTTTTGTTTTATAGCTCAAGATTAATTCAAGACAGTCTGAACCAGATTCTAATTTGTTTCTTGGCTTGTAAAAGSTGGGGAAAGAAATATGAAAGGTAGCACTGAACAATGAATGAACCACTCTTWGTTGTGGTGCTGTGCAGTAGGAGGAGCACAATGAACCTCTTTTGAAAGCACTGCATGCAGGATCTGCAGAGACTATGATGCTGTAAGTACCTTTTCCTCGGACACAKTTACAAGTGTTTGTCTTTTGTTGGCGCAAATCATCTGCATTGCACTTGCCCTGCAAATCACCAAGTGTCCAAAACACTGCAAAAGTACAAAAAGAGTGGAAACTCTGTATACTTTAAAACCTCAATCCTAAAATACATCACTTACCATAGGAACTTCAGCAATCACTTGAGTAGATCCTCCAAAGAACTCTTTTGTTCCCAGAACACAAGATAAATTATTTATAAAGTGCTTTGTTTTGATGAAGTAATTTTACAAATATTATGCAATAGGAGACAGGTGTGGCTTGTTGAGTGCATATGAAAGTTTGATAACTGAACTCCTCCAAGGCAAAAGTTGTTCCCATAGTCCCCTTAACCTTCATTTAAAACTGGGTTTTGTATGCTATGGAAGTTTTGTAATCATAGCCTACCTCAAGCCTTGCCTTAACTATTTCCATGATGTTTCTTTCCAGTCTTTCCTGAGCCACACTTGTAGAGCAGGACTAGACCAGATAATCTCCAGAGGYCCCTTTAAACTTCTATCAGTCTCCAGTTCTAAGTACTGGGCAGTTGTAAATTCAACACTTCATTACTTGGGGTACCTTTGCAAGCACATCATCCAGATCCTGTCAGAGTTTCACAACTTATGTTTTTAAATAGCACGCTTGTGATTTTTGTCCTGTCCTTTTCCTCTGTCCTTCTCCACAAAGATGATGCTATTCCTCTTGCCAGGAATAACACTGTCTATGCAGCTTCTGTTCCTTGGCTGCAAAAGCCGGTTTGGCAAGAGCTGGGACAGTATMAGTGATGGAGACATCCAGCCCACAGTCACTGGCCACATCTGTGATGCGCAGGGCAATCTAATCACAGCAGAGAACTGGCAGAGCTTTCTTAGAGGCGGAGACTGCACTGACAGGAAATGTGAAGAACAGCATGAGAAAGAGAAGCTCATGTTACCTGCAATTCTGTGAGCCAATTGGAGCTCTAACAGGTTTTCCAGCCCAATTAGAAAAAGATGAAATCCAAAGAGAGGAGCCAACAGAACAGTAGATTTTGTTATGAGGGTCWCTACCTTCCTTGTCCCCAAACCAGCTTGGGATCTTTCTCAGAATGACAATTGGTTGGATCTTGGTTGAGGAGGGACTAGAGATGGCTCTGTGCAGATGATGAGGCCATCCAGGGTCTCTTTGCTTTACTTTTTGATGACTGCAGCATACTGTGGCTAAAGGCATCAAGCAAAATAAATTTCCATGATACTCCAGGACTCATGATCTCTCCAGCAAGCAATTTTCAAATTGTTGACTACTCTTGTAATCCTTGCATAGCATCCTTTGAAGAAAGAAATATTCKACAGAAAAACTCCCAAAGACATGTCCTCACCCTTGTTTCCCAAATGCTGCAAGATGTCCTTGCTCCACAGACTTTCAGGGTAAAAGATTTTGGAGCAATACAAGAGCTAGTCTTGAGGGCATCTGTTCTAGCAAGGTCAGTGCAGTAATCTAAATGTGTAGGTACAAAACTTTATGCTCCTTGCCTCACAGCAGAAAACTGAGTCTTTGAAAAACTGAAGCATGACACTAAAACATGTGGGATAGATGTGAATCGGGATAGTGGTTTTCCCTGGGCTGTACTGAGACAACATTTACAGATAAGTAGCTTAATATAAAGGCAATTAATCTACTGGTCCACTTGTCAGCAGGTCAGACTCTGAGGAGTTTTACTAAAAATCTTAGAGCTAAAATTAAGTCCTGCTATGTCCATGCCAGATCAGCCTGTATCTTATTTTGCAAGTTAACACTGCCTCTCAAAATGTCTTTTTAGAGGATACTTTTTCCTCGTCTTTACCAGCTCATAGGTCTGCAAAACATTTCACAGTTTGTCTCCAGCAGGATATCAGCTATGGCATATTCTTCATATGAAAATAGATGCTTTTTTGAGGGAACTTTMATTTTGACCATATTTTTAAAAGAAGACATTCATAAAGAAGGAAGGAGGGATGTTTCCTCCCTTACAAATAATCTAACACCCTGTCTTATGATTGATGCAGGTTATATTGAAATTATCTCTTTCATGCATGTGATATATTGCTCAAGATGACTATTAAGCCATTTGAGGTAGAGTGTCATTACATAAAGGATCTCAGTTTACATTAAGGCTTTATTTCTAGTAAGTGACACCTGCTGTAACTGGAGTGCAGTTATCCCCTCTTTCCTGGAATGGAAACCTCCTGTCAGCATAGCTGTAAATTTTAAGACTAGATGACCACAATTCTTTTAAATCCATATTCTGCAAAACTAATTAATATAAGACTAAAAGTTTTGACTGCTTTTTCAAGTTAAGCAGAGTAGCCCTGCTTTAACAGCAAAAAGGGAACAAGTAAAAACACRTAAACAACTGAAACAAGATCAATTCTTGTTCACTATTTGAGGATCGTGCCTCTAACAAATAATGTTTGCAGATTCACACCACAACCCTCAGCTGCAGAGTTTGGCACGTGCAACAACATGAGGGAACCTGGATGAGGACTAACTTGTTACATGATTCTGTGCAGCCTCTCCCCCAGYCTTCTGAATGATGTATTTAAAGAGCATTGTAACAGATAAGAATGGAGAACATTATGTTGAAGGAAAAATTCTATGATGAAGTGTACACCAGATGCATCTCAGTAATCGGGACACAACTTGCACTAAATAGCTCCATTTTGGAAAATATCATTCTTTACTGGCAAAAACTCTTCTGTAAACTGTATTAATACTGATATAGGTGCTCCTTCTTACATTTTTGGACTSTATACATGTGGTAGTCATTCGTACAAATGCCTCTGTCCCTTCTTTCCCTTTGAAAAGGATAATCCCTCTCAATGCAGAAAGGCCTGTGTGGCAGTTAAATACTRGTTAAAAGAGTGAGGATCTATATTCAGAGGCTAAAGGAGTTTAAAAAATATACTCCTCATGGAAATCTTTTGTCACAGAGAGCAGCTTTCACTGAAAGGCACTCAAGGTTTGCTTGGATGTTTGGCTTGAACATCCTTCATACCAAGGACACAGCATTTCATAGAATTAAATTTCACATTATGCAAATTACATATCAAGATCGCTTCACCTCCCCAAGTCGTTTTGTGCCTTCAGGAAGGTATAATCTCATGCAACTGTAGGTACTAATCTATTTCCCAGATGGCACACAACCTTGCATTCAAGAACAAAAGGCAGCTTGAATACAGAAGTCCCCCAAGAAACCTGCAAAGACCCACTGAAAATCCATGGCAGTATCTCCCTGTTTAACTGATTACTTTTTCAACTCATTCACTCCATTGTGCAAGATATATCCAGGTGTTTTGCAGCTTGCTGGGCTGATGCATCCTTTAGCTCAGTTGATACGATAAACGTTTCTTATCCTCCTATTGCTTCGTTGTGAAGGATATAAAACAGAGGCACTTATGGTTTCAGGTATGTATCAGCAGCTCTAGTTCCAAGTTCAATTTTTGTGAATACAAGCCTGGGACTGCCCAGCGAGGTGGGGAGGTTCACTCAAAGAGAGAGATGTAATCTGGCTCTTGATCCTCTTGGCCACATGGGTAAAGCAACAGCTCCTTCCCCAGGGAAGTGATGGGTTCCTCCTGTTGATATAGGATACGATCAATCACCGACTTTTAAACAGACCCTGCCTGTCMCAACCTCATGAAGTGAGACAGCAGTCTCCCTGCCTCTGTTATGGTGTGGATGCCACTGTGATACAGCTCAGTTCCCTGGAGAACTCAGGGAAGTGCCCAAATGGCTGCCCTCTTGTCTTCATAACATAGCATCAATGCTTGGTGCCATAACTCAGTGACACAATTCTGGCAGTTTTCAGAAAGAGCTGTGCTCATTTCTGAGGAAACTACAGCTTCTCTGACATGGAGTGGTGCCCTACCTAGAAAGTGCTGGAGCCAGGACCATGCAGCATGCAGGTAAAGCAGGAACAGGGATTGTGGACTGTGCTTCTGCCTATGTTTGTGGGAGTGACAAGGGTGGATTCTGGAGAGAGCACATACCCTCTGCTCAGGCAAATCGTGCTCTAACCAGGGAATTCCCTGATAGCACAGTCTCTTCTTCCAATCTCATTCTCCACCCTAGCAATAGATGTATGATGGGCACTTGCTTTGTTTCATGGTCACCTGGTGGGTGATAAGGAGAACCCACTGGGACACTTCAGCAGAGTGGATGCAGCTGCTCACACATGCCGTAGTGCAGGGGTTCTGCAGGATTCTTTGCAGACTGTGGGATTGCTCTATCTTTGATGCACAGCCAGGCCTTAAATCCTCCAGCTCTGGTACAAATAGCTGTATAATTTCCGCTTTTAATAATTTCAGCCAGAACTGTGAAAGTCATGCAAGTTCAGGCAGCCCAGGTAGAGTTCCAAAGAGCTAATGAGCATGAGCATATTGTTCTCATGTCCAGTTTTGTTTAGCCATGTCTGTATTAAGCTAGGCACTTATTTAAAAGAGATAGATTTTAAATGAACCTATAAGAAARATTATTGTCTTGTCCCTGGGCAGATCTTACATTAAAGGAACGAACAATCCATCTGGCTCYCCTTGAGACCCATGTAACCACAGTTAGTGCTGGTAAAAACTGCTGTTATTGTTGCAAGAACCTGCTACCTTCCTCCTTCCCTTCTATTTTTTATATCAACCCCTGTATTTTTTTCCATCACCCCTTGCCTAGTTTGAGATTATAAAGATACCTCATTCTCTTTCATGCTGAAGCTGGAGGCAAGCAGGATTTTGTGTTTACCCAACTTGCCAGTGTCTCTTAACCACGGAGAAAATAAAAAAGAAATGAGTTTGCATGAGCATGCTTTCACCTCTCATCAACATTTCTAYTAAGTAGTTTGTAAGGTATATGCAAGGTGTTCTGTATACTTGAGGGTGAGCAAGTCAGATMTAAGATGTCTGAGATGTATTAGGTTGCCTGAGCTGTACCTGTCAAGATGGCATACCCTTCTGRAGCAGCACACAGGATACCCAGCAGCAGTTAAAATGGGTCTAAGTTACTTACTTCAAAACAACTGAATCTATTCTTTCTTATTTTGAAGTGCCCKGAGGCAATTAAACAGTTAATTAATGCACTGCTAGATGTTCACCTTGTGGTAGTCTACAAGGTCTGCCAGTGTTGAATGTTGCAGCTGGTCCACTCCAAGGAAGCTGTAGGAATCAGTGGAGGCATCAATGAGGAAATGTTTACATCCTTCCGCAGACCGATATGAGAGCACATAGCCTTTGATTTTCTCACTGACCCGGATCAGAAAACTCCCTGGTACTGTTTTATTMAGAAGCTCCTCTGCTTTCTTAGAGGTTAGGATACCTGTTCAAAAACAAAACACAAAACTGAAAGGGAGAAAAGCATTTGTGCAGGATTGGACAGAACAATTCTCATAAAAAATCAGCYCTAAAACCAGTCCATGGCATTTCCATCCCTGTCACTGTTTTCTTGCCCAGGAAGAAGAGTGCTGCCATTGCTAGAAACAAGCCAWGGCCACATGCCAACTGCTCTTTGTTAACTGTTCCACACTTGGCCAACAATGAATGACAAACGTGGAGGGCTCAAAAGGACTGTTGCTGTGTGATGAGAGAGAATTGCARTTATTGTATGTTGTTTCCAGTACAGGAGCTTTACTCTCAAGCCCAGCCTGTGTTAGCAGCCATGTTAGCAGAAAAAACTCCTTAGACAGTTGGGCTGGAGCGGAAATGCTCAGAACTCACCATGGAACCAAGGTGCTATTGTGTCTGTGGTTTTCAGATAGCCAGCTCGGAGAGGGAATTGCTCCTCTTTGAACCACTTGATACTTTCTTCAGTGGAATTGGAGATTGTCCTGTGGATTCCCTCTTTCCTGTTAGAAAAGACCATGGTTTGTGCATCAGGTTCAAATGACAAGTTTTGAGTCMTTGCATAGGACTCATGTTTTGCTTAGGATTTTAAGAGCAGCTCTAAATAGGCAGTTTACACCAGTGCAGCTGTGTGAAAYATGGTTTTCAGTGGTGGACATCTGGCATCAGAGGGGCTGTATGTGTTCCAGGCTTAGGACACTCTACTAACTAAACCTRTTACCCTCCGGGAGTGAACACCTCAAGGCCTCACACCCTAAGCTGGAATACAGCCTATGCTCTGTATTTTTCCCAGCTGTCTGTCACATCCACACAAGGAGGAGAGCCAATTATTTCCTTCTCAACCATCCCATGCTAGAGCAGAAGCATCCCTTCTTCTTTTCACAGTGCACAGAGGCTTCCTTACCTAATCACTCTCCCATTTGCTGTTGGAGGAGGTGGAAGTTTAGGCTTTGGGGGGAGAGGTGGATACTGGAGTGGTCGCCGATTTCCTTCTGTGGCAGCCTTGGAAATATCTGCCCGTTTCCCTCTGTGGATGCCCTGCAGTGAAAGCCTCCTGTAGTCRTCTCTGGCTTGCCGTGCAAGGGAGCGTCTCTTCTCATCTGCTGCCTTGGATTTACGCACTGGAACAAAAAAGGAGTCCTACAGGTGTGAACAAGCAGCAAATTTAAAGCTTGCTGCCCTTTGTCCATCTTCCTGCTTGATGAAATGGAAGAATAACCCTTTTACAAGCTGAAAGATTCACTCAATTGTGAGATCATTTKCCACGTGTCTCCCACGTGTTAAGTGGCACAGTTTTCATTCCTTTAGGAGATTAAAAACCAGATTTTTTTTTTCTGGGAAAAGATTAAAAATCTTTGGCTTTTTTCTTGGTACCAAGTTCCTTTGTACTTAGAGATTTCTTGGGTTCTTTTCAGATGCTGACTCCTGGTTCAGACACAGATTTCTGTAGTGCCTTCCATGTGAACTGTTGCGGGGGCAGGGCACATGGAATTAAAGCTGCTGAAATGACCCCAAATCAATCATCTGAAGGATTTGAAAGTGCTAATCAATTTTGGAGGGTGGGAAGAAGTCTTGCTGAAACTATTATGGAAAGTGGAGAACTTGACTGTGGGGTTTTGGTTTTTTCCCCAGTAAAACTACCTTGATTATCTAGGTCCATCTCACCCTGGAGTCTGCAGGAGTAACCAGCTCTCCAGTCAGCTTTTTTTCATCAGTCAGAAAAATAAAACATCCAGACTGAAGTGGAAACAACTGGTGGTACAGCATTGCCATCTACTGAACAGCAGGGGAGGAACTGGGAAAAACATGCATCAGGTTCTCCTTCAAGAAGCATTTAGCAGCAAGTCTCATACTATTTGCCATTTTCCTTTCTGTCATTTGGATTCATTACATAAGGCAGTGCAGCAGGGCTTTACTTAGGTGGGATCATGCTTGAATGACAGAAAAGCCCTCTGCAATTAGTCCCTGTTACCCTTTATCCTTGTCTGCAACAGCAATGGTTACTGCAAAGTCCTACCAAAGGCTGGCTTCTAGTTTAAAAATAATGATGCTGGCTCTACTCATGTGATTCTTGTTTGTTGGTTGTTTTAACATAGTAACAGCAGGAAAAGTTTTCCATTTCCCAGCCCTCTAGTCTGAATGCTGTGTGGACTTAGAAATATTTCTGATAATAGAAAGCTGTATTTCTTGGCAATACTCTCCACCCTCTGACCTATTATTCAATTCTAGTATGGCAGGAGAARGGTTGAGATGACCTCACAGAGCCCTAGGATTTTTCAAGCCTTACAGGAAAAGGTCATCTTAAGATCTTACAGAATTCCTGCCATTCAGGCTCATTTTCATCCGATTTCTGCAGCRTCCTCTGGCTCTCTGGAGTGCTGGAGTGGCTTTGTGATATTGGCTTTGGGGGGGCTGTGATCTCTTCTGGATTTCTCCTCTGTGCTTCCTTCATCTATGAAAGAAACAGTATATTCAGCTTTGTTGCAGGCAAGTTTTCACGTGCTTTTTAGCTAGCCTTGAAATACTTGGAATTTCATTCTTTACAGTGAATCCCTCCAATTTCAACAACATACAGACCCTCTGTCTTTACTGAAGGTGACAACTGAGGCAGTAAGGGAAAACAGTCCATGAAAAATCATCAGGAACATCTCCCTGTGTCACTCCCCAGTCTGCCAGCCTGGCCTGCTTTGTATAATCTCAAAGTCATCACACCATACATGGGGAGCATGGCAATAATGGATAAAACTGATCTAAAAGGTGAGAACATTCTTGGCTCAGATGAGGCCCTGAAGCTGACTGGGACTCTAGGATAAAGCCTGGACCCCATTCAATATTTTAAGAGTATCATAGGTTGCCACTTACCTGTTGGAAGCTATGCTTCCTCACATAGCAATCAGCCAGCATCTGGTGAACATCTCTGGTTCCCCTCTGAAGGAGAAAAAGAATGTTGAGAAATAAATGTGACATTAGGACAATTGCTCTTTTTTTTTTTTTTTGAGCAATAGGTGTTTAATGCAAAAGCAGTCATATGATATTTGTTAACAAATTTGCCAGCCTGCTCTGACAAACATTGGGGAGTTTTTCCCATCATATTAGGCCTAATATGCCACAGGAGAACTCAGGGGAGTCAGGATTGCCATAAACATGCCCAGATTTGCCAAGCAATGCTCACAAGTGCTCCTTTCTCCTCTTCCTCTAAAGCAACCCCTTGTAGAGCCTGCTGTTTACAACTTTACCTGCCTGTGCATGTTTGCAGCTGTCCTGAGCTGCTGCAAACTCCTGCTTGACAAACTGACCCAACTGGCTGGATATTTTGTATTCTCTGCAAACCAGCCCAGCTGCCCTGCCAGCAGTCCCYAGCTGAGACCTGCCTTGGTAGATGAAGTTAGGTTTGGCTTCGAGTAAACACCCACCCACCTCCCCGTCAGACCCCAATTGCCTCCCATGGGACAACGACTGAGYTGAGTGAATTAACTGCACTACTCTGCTTACCAAGGACACACTTCCTTTCAGCTCCATCACCTGCTTGGYTAATACTTAGTATGAACATGGCTTACAACTTCCCTCTCCTCAACAGGAACTTCAAATGTGTTTGAAGCATCTTTTTTTTCTTAGATCAGCCCTATTCCCTGCAGCACAATACCTGGATCGCTCAGGTTAAACTGGAACTAAATCTCAGAGAAAACATTTTAATATGGAAGGTGGGAAAAAAACCCTCTCCAGGCCTAGAAAATACAACAGGAGACTTTGGTCTGGTGCCCTCTTTCTAACAGCAAAAGCCCCAGAAACCTGGGAAAATTTACTAATAATATAATGACAGAAAAGAAAAGAAAATACACAGCTCCCTTCTGTTTCCATGTGTAAGATTTGAAAGCAGGTTAGATTTTTGGTGGTGGCTTGTTTTTTTGGTTTGGGTTTTTTTTTTTTTTTTGTCAGCTTTGACTAATAAGTTCCTTTGAAAAAAAAAATCTCCCACATAGTTGCTCAACTTCAACAAACAGTGCAGAGAAAACCCCCATGTGACTCAGAGGCTTTAGATAAAGGAGACAGTCACTCCAAGTTCCCTGCACTATTTTGGTAGCAGCGGGAGAGCATTTTGCCAAAACCCAACCTTCTGTTATCATACTTTTTATACCAAAGTACAAAGTGGCTGTGAGATAAAGGAATATACACTCATACAAATTCATTCAAGGCTGAATTAAAACTGCTGAATGAGACTGGAGTTCTCCCATTAAATTAGGAGGGTGTTCTGTTTCTTCTTTGCAACTGTGGTTGCATGGGTAGTTAATTTAATTCTTCTTCTTCTCCTTTCTCTCCAAATACCTTTTTGCAGCCAGTTAAGAAACAGGAATGTATTTTTTATTGCTGGAGAAAAGTATTTCCGTAATGAGACAGCACAGGAAASTAGACACAGTATTACTGCATTTGGAGTTGTCCCATGTCAAGATAATAAGTTGTTTTGTTTTAGAAGACAAAAAACCCCACGAACCTCCTATAATATGCATATCAGATGATGCTGGTAAAATTATCTTCATTTGGTCTTTTATAAAAGTAGATGATTTGTCTGAGGGCTGTGACTTGCATGTACAGATCCTGGAATAGCCTCCCTAGTCTTGCCCCAAAACCCATCCAAATCACCCACAGTGCAGCAGGGAAAGTACTGCATCCTGAGTTTTACCCACAGAGAATGGAAGCAAAGGAATTTAGAGTAATTTATCCACTGGTGTAGGGCAGATCTATACCAGCTGAGAAGAGCACATGGACCTCCTGAGTCCCAAAGAAGGATGTAAGAGCATGGCTTCTTCTCTGACTATAGAAGAAAAGCCTTGACAGATAGATGGCTTTTCTTCCTTCAGATTTTTATTTACATCCAGGATTTTTATTTACAGCCAGGATTTTCTGCACTTCCTGGATATGAAAACATACATTTCTGGTGGTTATAGGAAAATAGGAAAACTACCTTTGTGAGCTCCTGGGTTTTTCCTGTCGTAATATCATTCATTTTTCTCCCATATTCCTCCTTTTTCTCCACAGTGTTTTTTTTATTCCCATGAAGATCTGTCTCAACCAGAAGTCCTGGTTGTGGGTGTAGAGACGATGTTGTAGAAGAGTCAATCTCTCTGAAATGCAAGTGAGAGAGGACTTAGGAGGGAGTCACYTTCTGCTGCCTGAGCATCTTGTGAGGAGGCTGCATGTGAGCAGAGCARAGTTTCAATGAAGCCACGTGTGCATAGGCAGTTCTATCTCCAGATCAGGTAAGTAAGTAATTAAATTAATGACTCGTGGTGAGTAACTGATGTCCGACTGTACCCGGGCACCTGCAGGTGAATCAGTGCGATCCGAGCCCATCACCTGCTGCTGTAACAGCATCAGCATTTCCTGTGGCCTGCAGAGGGTCCCACGCAGGAGCCGTGTCACAGGAGGCKCAGTGAGCACGGGCAAGTCGCAGGCTGAATGCTGGTCTCTCCCAGCATTGTGTGTCCTCTGAGAAAGCCAGCCTTTGCCTGTGTCTTTGTCTGCAAGTCCAGCGTGACAGTGGTAACCACAGCCCTTACAGAGAAGACTCCAGCCTGTGCATCCCTAGAAAAGCCGCCTTCTCCATATCTGCCCACTGAGTCCTCCAGCTGAAGGGTACTTACCTGCCCTCCTTGCCTYGCTCTTCCGCTAAGCGCTTTGCTCTTTGTGCCTGGATCTCTTCACAGATGGCTTSATAGGATTTATCTGAAGGATGCTCGCCCATCACCCAGACCCACACATCGTTGTCAGCACCGAGTTTCCATGTCACTGACTTCCCGTTGGCTGGAAAAGAAGCAGCTCTTTGGCAAATGCTGTTTGCTGGGTAGCTCTTTGCAGAGGTAACTTCTGTGTCACACCTGCTCTGCCCTACCAGCTGCTGTTGCTGATAGACCCTTCCCAAAAGCACATGAGGAAATCTTGTCAGGTCATCGAAGGAGGCATTTCTAAGTCTGGGAGCAAAGGAGAAGACTCACMACTGTTTCTTTTCTTGCTTTAATTCCTGACCTCTGCCCTTCCCAAAGTGTTTGAGGGTGAGCTACCTGCAAATAGAGCACCTGGGGGAGACCTGGGAGAAGAGTGCTATTTTCCTAGCATGCTGTGTAATCCTGGCAAGGGGACTTCAGGTCCTAAGTCTCAGTGGGAACACCCCTGCAGATCTGGTGCCTCAGGACAGATATTCAAAGCCATGGTTATGTTAAAGACAGATTCAGAGGCCCCATTTAGTGGAAAGCTTAATGAGATGCATCTCCTGTGGGCAAGTAAGCCCTGCCTTCCCAGATAAGAGGTTGAGCAATTTGGTCAAGGACGGAATGTCTGGGCCAGGGAGTAAAAACCATTGTGTGCCTGGTCAAAACTACTCCATTGCAGGTGGATTTAGTTAGGTTTAGGAAATAATCCCTTCTCTTGGAGAAGAAATTGCTCTAAGGATGTATTACCTCCTGTTTCTAGGAAGCAGTTGATTAGGCCAGATACGTGCCAAAAGGTGAAGGACCCAGGAGGCAGAGACTTACCTTTTCTTGGCGGGGGTTTTTTTTCTGAAATCTTGTCTGCAGCAGCTTCTCTTTCCTCCCACCGTCTGATCTGTTCCTGCCTCATCTTGAAGAAGAGGATCTGCTTCTGCTCCTCGCTGAGTTCTGCCAGCAGCTCCGGATCAATGTACATGTCTGATAATATCTGTTTCAGCATGGCTGCAGGTTTCACTTACGGACGCTCGTGGTGTTGATCTTCTAGGATCAGATCCTCTTCCTGGCTCCAACAAGAAAGAGTCCCTGCCTGTCAGAGCCTGAAGTAGGAATGCAGGCGTGCCAGAGCAATTATACGTCTGTCTCTCTTTTTTTTTTTTTTTTTTTTTTTAGCTCAGACTTCCTGCACAGACCAAAAAAAGTAAATAAGTAGCTTAAAACCTGCTGTTAAGATTTCTTGGAATAAGAGGTGAGCTCAGCTCTCATGCAGCCCCTGCCTGCTCTGCAGGGAGAGCTGGCCAGAAGAGGCGAGGCTTGGAAGGGGGAGGTTGTGTTGATACTCCGATAAACCCAGCTGATAGTATATCAAAGAGAGAGAGCACTGCCTGTTAGTCATCGGAGGTGCGGCTTGGCTGTGCCAAGCAAACATTCCTGCTGGGCAGGGAATCAATGAACCCATGACTAGATGACTCCTCCTCCTTCCAAACAGGAAAACTTTGATGATCAAAAGCCCAGCCTACTTCATTTTACCAAAGAAAGAGGGGGGACGTTTGACTCTGCTTTTGAGGTGGGAGTGCGAATTTTGGCTCTGGGAGGCTCTCATCCATCAGCCTCCCAGCAAGTCAAGGGACCACAAGGAGGGTAGCTGGTTTGAAAAATGGCAATTTGGATGGTCAGTGTCCAAGATAGCTCTGGCTCTGACACATCTTAGTGATGCACCCTGCCCACGTGGTGAGCCTGGTATGGGACATCCCTGTCTGACAGGATGAAGCTGATGGGGAGAAGGGGCACCCCTGTTCCTCCCCACCATGCTGGCTCATGCCCCATGCACACTGGCAAGGTACTAACACCCGCACAGCCTTGCTTTGTGCTCATGAATTTACATTTACAACGGGGATTTCACAGAATAATTGGAAGTTCTCCTGTCACTTGAAAAGGTGACAAATGAAAAAATAGAAATGTGGACTAAAGACCTTGAAACCATTTTCTTTATCTTATCTGGATAAACTTGTGGAGATCAGGAGATTGGTTGGCAGTGCTTTTGGTGACATGGGGAAGCTGACAGACATGTGTTAAGTGCAGCACCAGAACAGAATGGCTGACTGGCCAGAGGTAGCAAGGGCTTTTGGGACAAGCTCTTGGGAAATGTTGCCATCAGGCTACAAGGAAATTAGGGCAGTGGGATTCTTCATGTCCTTCTGCACAAATCCTGAAGTCTAAGGAACAAGCATGCTAGGACATAGCACAGTAGGTAGGAGGGTCACTGAGGGAGTAGTGTGGAAGTACAAAGGGCATAGACATGGCAGAAGGACCTGTGCCAGGTTGAAGTGGGACTATCTATTAAATCAAGTTMATGGGGGTTAAATCAAGTAGCCATCTTACAGAAGAGAGGATGGATCTCTAGGGACCCAAATATCAGAAGTGCTGGGAGACCCTCATCTTCACAGTATGATTGCTTGGGTTCTGACAAATAAGGTAACAAAGAAGGAGATAGTAGAGTAGCCAGCAAGTGCAATAAATACTGAAGGAGCGCACACAGAACACTCACTTATTTAGATGAAATGGGGCAGCACAACAGCAGCCTTCAAAAAGTCAGATTGCCAGAACAGTATCTGCTGCGTTGGTCCACCTTCCTCTGTCGCACACCCATGCTAGGAACAAGCAGTCTGTCCCAAGCATCCACCTGTTTCTGAATTAACATTTGTTTCTGCCTTAAAATTGCCAAAGAGACAGCTGGCTGGTGTCCCATTGCAGTGAAGTCCCCATGAACTTTCAGCAGAGAGAGCTTGAAAGGAGCAGGTGGAGGRGCTGTAGGCAGGGGAACGAGGACCTCAAGGACCTCAAGGCGACAGGGCAGATCATGGTCCCAGAAATGCAGCAGAGGCCAGGAGCAGGAGCAGGAGTTGCGGGGAAGGTGCAGTGACGAGGAGTTGGTGTTAAGCCTTCTAATTTCCACTTTGTTTCTCTGATTACTTCATATTTTCACTGTTAAAAATGTTAACTTAATTCAAGAAGGAAATATGAAGCTGCTGTTCCAGGTCTGTATGGACTTTGTTTAAACAAATTATTTAAAAAAAATGGGATTTTGGGAGTAATCTGACTTGGGCAATGGTTTCTGAGTAGTCCCCTGGTAGAAGAGTCGTTCCAGCTCAACAGCTAAAGGGTGTTGGTCTGTCCTTGAGCCATGGAGGTGGCAGCTGTAAAGAGAGAAGAGTTTCATAGGACATGATGCATGAGAAGCCATCAGCAGAATGCATGCAGCAGCATATCCATACTGCTCCAGCTTCTCAGGAGCGGGAATGGCTTTATTATGGCATTTGCTTAGGAGGACATGATGTGCTCTGCCATATGCCGTGGTGGCAGACTGGTCCCTTTTTCCATGCCTGGGGACACAGTGTGTTGGCAACATGGAAGGGTGCTTACCAAACAAGTTTCACAGTACTGATGCAGTTTTGCAGAGCTGGATCTCCTTGTAACATTGGTTGTAAGAAGAGGTTTATAGTGCTGCATCCCAAAGGTACCCTTTAAAGCACCTGCTATTTTAACACTGGGAAATGACATATGCATCTCAAGAGGTTTGCRATATTTCTGTTTTAGCAGTCACTTCATTAAAGATCTATGAGCTGGAAATCCTTGCAATCAGTCATATACTGTTYCCACAGTTTGAATCAAAGCCATGTCACTGACACCTGGCTGAAAGTGGCTTTGCAGGTGCTGTTCCAGCTGTAAGTGGTATATTTACAGCTCAAACTTAGTGAAGCCAAAGACTGCAGTAATGACAGAGGAACCTCCAAGCAGTTAACTTGTAGGCAAATTCTAGTACAGGTCCTGTTAAACTTTTTACTGTTTGCATTTTTTTCATGGGAGTGGTAGGTGGAAGCTGGTTTTGTGGGGGAATAGAGATGGGAGTTGCCAAAACCAGCAAAAATTAAGTGGGGGTCAATGGGAAGCCAAACCAGAGGTTTGGGGCTCTGCCACTCATGTATTAGATAGTCAACTTGAAAGTCATAAAGGTAAACACAATCCAAAGGCTAAATGATCTTTCAAAATGCAAGGTCACACAGCAGTTAAACCTCCTGCTGGGGAGCAGCCTCTTCTCTGTGCTTTTGTAAATCATCTACCATTAACAGGAGAAACAAGTCCATGAATACATATGAAAGTGCTGCAGCTTTGAGAAGAACTGGCACAAGCTCCTGCTCATGTGTGCAGCAGGTGACACTTTGACACAGACAAAGCTCACAAGACACTCMCACCTGGCTATACTAGTCCTGATCCTCACCATCAACGCTGCCAGCAGAGGAAAGGTTTCTCCAAGAAAACAATACACAGATAGATATAGATGGGCATTTGCTATGGTTTTCACCAAGAAATCAAACAGGACAATATAAAGTGAAACAGCAGACAAGTTAAGCAATAGGTCTTGTAGCTCATTTTCTGGGAGGCAGCTTATTCAACCTTCTGCAYACATATCCACTGTAAATGTGACAGTAACTGTAAATTTAAAATAACCCAAGAAATCCAAATGTGAGGAGAAAAGACAACACAAAAAAAGGCTGCTTCAGGGTACAGGCTGATGAGCTAAGAGGATTTCTATTGTCATAAAATAGTTTTTCCCATAAAAAGCAGGTAAGACCATGTTGTTCAGTAAATGGCAGCACTGTATTATTYTGAGTCAAGAGCTTCTCCTTGGAGCTCATTATTTGTTTAGTGAGAAGTGGCTTCAGAGACAGAGTCGGGAATTCTTTTCCCCGATCAAGAGGCTGGGCTATGAGAACACAATTGAATTTCCTTTCATTTGCCAAACTAAGCCCTGCAGCCCGAGGAGGCTCAGGTTTTTCTGGATTTCTCCAGTTCCAGCCACTCCAATGCAATCAGCTCTCTGCCAGCCTTTAGGAAGGCATTTCTGGGTTTTTTTTTTCAGAAGTGAAGCAAAGCATAATTGCCAAACTCACCTGAAATCAGAGCATCCAAAMTAATCACCTCCCCAACCTTGCTCTGAGTACACAAGCCTTCATGGGTTAACTCTAACACATTGGTTCATAACATGCACTTTTGTAAGAAAACATTTATGTTAACAGCTGCACCGGCAAGGTTAGTACCAAAATATCCTTCTGCTTTGGGGTTTGGCTGTTCATTTGTTTGTTTTGTTCGTGTTTGTTTGGGGCTTTTTTTAATCCTCATCCTGTTCTAAATAGAGGAGTGATTCATTCCTCCCTTTCTGTTTAATTTTKTTTCAGTCTACTGTCTTTTTGTTTCAGACTGAAGGAAACCTCCTCGTTTGGGTATAACAGAAGGAAACCACAACTGYACAAGCATAGSCTCTGGAATATAGAACTAGATCTGYTTGTATCTTAGAATCATWGAATGGTTTGGCTTGGAAGGTACCTCAAAGATCATTTACTTCCAACCCCMCTGCCATGGGCAGGGTCACTAGACCAGGCTGCTCAAAGCACCACCCAGCTTGCTCTTGAACACTTCCAGGGATGTTTCAGTACCTCAACACCTTCACAGGGAAAGAATTTCTTCCTGATATGTTATTTATGCATGCCTTGTGTTAGTTTGAAGCCATTCCCCCTTGCCTATCACTCCATGACTTTGTCCAAAGCCCCTCTTAGCTCTCTTGTAGCCCCTTTATGTACTGGATTCTGAGTAAGGCTGGCGTATAATGCTTGAAAGAACAAAACCAATGAAGTCACCACAACATAAAYTACCTTGAAATTACCTATAACGGAACTGTTGTGCTCTATAGGTCCCTGGTATGGCTGGAGGGCACAGTGGTTATCTCATAGCAAGTATGAATGGATGACAGTGGCAAGAAGGAAAAATAATTTGATACAGCAGCAGCCACTGAACACTTTCTCAGGGCCACAGGGCTTTACTTTCAAGGAAGATGTAACTTCYCTGCTAGAACAATGTGCAAACACTTCTTATATCATCCTCCTATATCAAAATTACTGAGAGAATTAACAGTGTGTGAAAAGGGTAAGGTCTTCCACAGGTTAACACACAGGATCAGATACTTAACCAAACTCAGCCACTGTAAAAAAAGGAGATTTTTCTAACCGTGACACATAATTCGATTTACAGTACTGCACAGAAAGAGGTGCTGGGTGGTAAACCCCAAAGCCAGCACCTTGAGGCACAAAAAAGCAGGCCTTACACAGTTACAGTCTTGAGGTATTAAGTCTCACTTAAGTGACTACTAGGCTTAAGTTATTAGCCCATCCTTTCTCTGTTTTAACTTAAAGCCATTGTGTCCCAAGAAATCATAGCCCATGCTCAGTTAGTGGTGGTTTTTTTTGTGTGCAGGGGTGCCTGAGCTGGGGTGTGGTTTTAACTATTATAAGGAGCAAAAGCTCATCACTAGGGTATTTTCTCACTACAAAACCACTCAAAACTGGGGATTTTTTTAGTTCATCATTACACATCCTGGATAAGAAGGGTGTTAGCTTTGTTTTCCCCCTTCGGGAACTTAGGCTTTCAATTTTC